TTTTTTTTTTTTTTTTTGGAGACAAAGTCTTACTTTCTTACCCTCAGTACAGTGCTCTGGTATCACAGTTCACAGCAAACTCTAGGTCTTGGGCTTAGGCAATTCTCTTGCCTCAGCCTCCTGAGTAGCTGGGACCACAAGCACCCTCCACAACCCCTGGCTATTTTTTGTTACAGTTTGGCCAGAGCTGGGTTTGAACCCACTACCCTCGGGGCTAGGTTCATATGGGTCTGGTGCCTGACTCACTGAACCACAGGCACCGCCCTGCATCATATTTTCTTAATGTGTTTTTCTATCCAAGTGCATTTGTTGATATAATATGATTACTCTAAACATCAAGTGATAAAGGCCAATGATAGGGCAGTATATGTGGTGGTGTGAACAAATTGTTTAACAAAAATTAGTCTGAGATATCTCCGTATTATTTCTTACAACTGCATGTGAATCTACAATGATCCCAAAATACAAAGTTTAATTTTAAAAAGACAATTGAGAGAAATATCGTAAATACCTTAGGTTCAATTATAGTAACAAATAAAGTTGGGAAGCTTACCTAACAGTTATTAACAACAGTTATCTCTGGAATATGATGTATTATAGCTGAGCTTTTATTTCCCTGTTTGCATTTTCTGATGTTCACACAATTATTTGTATAATTAACACAAATATAAATAACTTTAGAATAGATGTTGATTTATGAAATAAAATTAAAACAAGCTATTTCCTAGCACAAAAATTAGATGATTCTAAACTGCTGGAGAGCTAATTAGAGCTTTGGTGCAGGAAGGACAGAAAGGGGGGGGTGATGCAGCTGATGACTTATTCTGCTGCCCTCTCCATACAGGAACAGCAAGAGATGCCAAGAACAAGTTATCTGATTAACATCTGATTAACACCTCAGGGACTACTAACACCCTTACCTACATCCCCCTTTGCTCTGCCTCTTGACCTTTTTCACTCTCATTCCTCATCTCTTTCATTTCCTCCCTCACTCTGCCTCCTTCCAGCCATCTCTTTTCCTCTCCTTCTTACCTTCTCTGTCTTTTCCTTTGTCTTGTCTTTCCTTTTCTTTTTCCCTTCTCTCACTTTAATCGGCACAATTGAGAACCAAGGTGAATCTAAATGTTATATCTTTTGAAAATGAGGTTTGTCTTCACTGTAGAAAAATTAGAAAGCCCAGATAAAGGAGAAAGAGACTTTAATCTTACCACCTTTAACCACTAATAATATTTTAGCTCTTATGTATTCACATTTTCTGTGCAAACATATCTTTCACTAAAATGCTATGCTATCAACATATAAAAATCTATAACGTTTTAAGTTGTCTAGTTTTATATTGTGTGAGTATACCAGAATGTGTTTTTTCAATCTTCAACTGTTGAATATTCACTTTATTTTTAATGTTTTGCTGTTATAAAACAACCCTGTAAATCACATCCTTATGTATATGCATGTGCGCATGCATGCATGCATGCGTGCATGTGTATACACACACACACCTTTTTATTCTCGTCCAATTATTCCTGCAAGCTAAATGCCTACAAGAGGAATTAATGGCCAAATGGCATTCACACATTTTTAAACATTTCTGCTTTCTATACCTATTACCAAATTGACCTCTAGGAAGTTTACATCAATTAACTCTCCCTCCTGCAGTGTATGAGGCTGCTCATTGCCCCAGTCCTTATCAACACTGATTTATTATTACTTTCAGTCTTTGTTGTATCTTTTGAATAGAAATTCATTTTCCTCATTATTAATTTTGAATGCAAATAATCTGGTGTTCACTGTCTTGATCTCAAAAATACTAAAATAAGTTGGTTTCTATGTATGTGTGGCTGTTGGTAGTTTTCTTTTTTGTTCGTGTCAGGTTGTGTCAGGGCTCCTGATAGAAATAAGGTTATGGGCAGGCCTGTGGCTCAGTGGGTAAGGCGCTGGCCCCATGTACTGAGGGTGGTGGGTTCAAACCCAGCTCCAGCCAAACTGCAACAAAAAAAATAGCCAGGCGTTGTAGCAGGTTCCTGTAGTCCCAGCTACTTGGAAGGCTGAGGCAAGAGAATTGCCTTAAGCCCAAGGAGTTGGAGGTTGCTGTGAGCAGTGATTCTACAGCACTCTACCAAGGGTTAATAAGTGAAACTCTGCACTCTTATTCTAAGTGAAACTCTGTTTCAAAAAAAAAAAAAAAAACAGAAAGAAAGAAAAAAAGAAAGAAAGAAGGTTACCTACTCCTGTTCTAAATCCTTCCCGCCTCAATCTCTGTCAACTTGTCCTTGAACAGGTATCCCTCTAAGAAAGCCTCTGCGTTTTGGAGGCTTTCTATCTGCATTTAATCTTAAGTACTAGCTGAAAAAATGAGTTCAATTATAACTGTTTCATTTCTGCCAATATTCTCATCTTCATTTTTTTAATCTGTAGGGTGGGGATGATAATGCTTCAGAGGGTTGTTGTGAGGTGAAAAGAACATATGTAGAGCTCTTGGTGCAGGCCTATTATTCACAGGCAAAATAACTGAGACCAAGAGAACTCAAGGGATTTGTATAAGTTCTATTCAAGCCCAAATATTATGACCCTAAATCTTTTTTTTTTTTTTGAGATAGAGCCTCATGCTGTCACCCTGGGTAGGGTGCTACGGCATCACAGCTCACAGCAACCTCCAACTCCTGGGCTCAAGTGATTATCCTGCCTCCACCTCCCAAGTAGCTGGGACAACAGGCGCCCGCCACAATGCCTGGCTATTTTTTGGTTGCAGCCGTCATTGTTGTTTGGCAGCCCTGGGCTGGATTCAAACCTGCCAGCTCAAGTGTATGTGGCTGGTGCCTTAGCTGCTTGAGCCACAGGCACCAAGCCATGACCCCAAATCTGTCTCTTTTTGTCTTATGAAATATTTCACATTATTATATGAATACCCTGTAGCCACTACCTAGCTTTAAAAAAATTATAGAAATAAATTGTGTCCTTCCATAATCTGGTTTACCTTCCTCTCTCCCTCCCTCTCTTCTTTCCCCTCCCCAGGTAGTCACTATCCTGAATTTAGTGTTTATTACTCCCATGATGTGTCTATACTTCTATTCCATATTTATATATCTGTGTCAACTTTAATATTGTTCTACATGTTTTTAACCTTCTATTAGTGGCAACATATAATGCATATCATTCTGCAGCTAGCTTTTTTTTTACTCAATACTTTTTGAGTGTTTGTGGTAGTATAACAAAATACCTGGGACTGTGTATGTAATGTATAAAGAACAGAAACTTATTTTCTCACAGTTCTGGAGGCAGGGAAGTCCAAGGTCAATGTGCTGGCAGGTTAAGGTTCTACTGTCTGCTGAGGGCTGCACTCTTATTCTAAACTGGTACCTTGTTGCTGCATTCTCTGGAGGGGATGACACTGTGTCCTCACATAGCAGAAGGTGGAAGGGCAAGAGGTCACTTTTATAAGGATCTTAATCCCATTCATGAGGGAAGAAGCTCCCATGACCTAATCACTTTTCAAAGGGCATCTTAATACCATCACAACACCTGAATTGTGGAGAGAACACATTCAAACGTTACATGAAGTTCTACTTCATGTTTTTTAATCTTGGTTTAGTATTCTATTATATAAATATACCACATGTGTTTTACCCTTTCTCTTGTTGATAGATATTCAGATTATCTCTAGTTTTATGTTCTCACAAACATTGATACAATGGACATTCTCATATGTATTTCCTTATGGGGAGGAGCCTCTCTAAAGTAGTAGAGTGAGTGGTGGTGCCTGTGGCTCAGTGAGTAGGGAGCCGGCCCCATATATCGAGTGTGGCAGGTTTGAATCTGGCCCTGGCCAAACTGCAACAAAAAAATAGCCAGGTGTTCTGGCGGACACCTGTAGTCCCAGCTACATGGGAGGCTGAGGCAGGAGAATTGCCTATGCCCAAGAGCTGGAGGTTGCTGTGTGCTGTGATGCCACAGCACTCTATCAAGGGCTAAAAATAAATAAATAAATAAAGTAGTAGAATTCTTAGGTAATAAGATATGAGCAGATTCAATTTTACTGGACAGCACCAGTTTTCCAAAGTGGTTGTTCGATATATACTCCCACTAGCAATATATAAGAATTCCTATTGCTCCACATCATTATCAGCACTTATTACTATCATAGTTTTAAATTTCTGACAGTCTGATGGGTATGAAATATCTCATTATAGTTTTCTTCCTTTTCTTGAGACAGAGTCTTACTTTGTCACTCTTGGTAGAGTGCTATAGCGTCCTAGCTCACAGCAACCTCAAACTCTTGGGCTCAAGCAATCTTCTTGCCTCATTTTTTTCATTTTTATTTTATTTTATTTTTTGAGACAGTCTCACTATGTTGCCCTAGGTAGAGTGTCATGGTGTCACAACTCACAGCAATCTCCAACTCTTAGGTTTAAGCAAGTCTCTTGCCTTAGCCTCCCTAGTAGCTAGAACTACAGGCACCCACCACAACACCCGGCTATTTTTTGGTTATAGTTGCCATTGTTGTTTGGCAGGCCCGGGCTGGATTTGAACCTGCCAGCTGTGGTGTACGTGGCTGGTGCCCTAGCTGCTAAGCTATAGGTGCCAAGATAGTTCTTTCATTTTTAGTAGAGATAGGATCTCACTTTTGCTCAGGCTGGTCTCAAACTCCTGAGCTCAAGTGATTCACCCACCTTGGCCTCCCAGAGTGCTAGGATTACAGGCATGAGTCACCATGCCCAGCCTCTTTCTTATAGTTTTAATTTGTTTTTATCTGACTACTAGTGAGATTAAACATGCTTTCATATGTTATTGGCCATTCTCTTTTGTGCTTCTATAAAGATCCTATTAAGGTTGGGTATGGTGGCTCATGCTTGTAATCCTAGCACTATGGGAGGCCCAGGCGGGTGGATTGCTTGAGCTCACGTGTTCAAGACCAGCCTGAGCAAAAGCAAGATACAGTCTCTACTAAAAACAGAAAAACTGAGGCAAGAGCCCAAGAGTTAGAAGTTGCTGTGAGCTATGACACCACAGTACTCTACCCAGGGCAACAGCTTGAGACTCTGTCTCAAAATAAATAAATAAATAGCCTATTAACATTCTTCGTACATTTTTACACTGATATTATTGATTTGTGGGAGTTCCTATATGTACTGAACACCAAAACATTTTTTTTTGAGACAGGGTATCACTCTGTTGCCTGGGCTAGAGTGCTGTGGCATCATCATAGCTCACAGCAACCTCAAACTCCTGGATTCAAGCAATCCTCCTCCCTCAGCCTCCAGAGTAGCTGGGACTATAGGTACCCATAATTCCCAACTAATTTGTTTTTTGTAGAGATGAGGTCTTGCTATTACCCAGGCTGGTCTCAAACTCTTGGCCTCAAGCAATCTTCCTCTCTTGGCTTCCCAAAATGCTAGGGTTACAGGTGTGAGTCACTGTGCCCAGCATGGATGCTAAAATTTTGTTTGTTATATGTTGCAGATTATTTTCTCTTTGGCTTTCCTTCTTCTCCTTTGCTTATAAAGACCAACATAAGGAAGTTTTAAATTTTACTATAGTCAAATATATTAATCTTTTTCTTCATGGTCACAGTCTTTTAATAATATTATCTCACCTCTTTATGTCTTCCTATGACCCAGTTTAAGACTTCTGTTCCCATGCAGGCCTGATAGGTCACTCTCTTCCTTCTTTGCCTGCAGTGTTTGTCACATTGACATGTGCCTTTCGCTATGGCCATGCTGACTTGGATGTGATTGGTCTGACATTCCGCAAAGATTTGCATGTACAGGCCCAGCAAGTGGTCCCAGCTGAACCCACTAGCCCCAATGGGCCCCTCACATTCCTACAGGAGCGACTTCTACACAAGCTGGGGGACAATGCCTACCCCTTTACCCTGCAGGTACCAATTCCAAGTCCTGGGCAAGGTTTCCAGAAGGAGGACAGTGAGGGGACCCTATTTTTTTCTGTTTGCTGACCTCCTTTTGGTCCTCTAGATGGCCACCAACTTGCCCTGTTCAGTGACACTGCAACCAGGTCCTGACGATGCAGGAAAGGTAAAGTCTGTATTCTAAGAAAGAGCAATAGATGGTAGTGCCAGAGAAGAACAGTGGGACAAATGGACAATAATGAAAAAGGAGAAGTGGACAGCTAACACATCAGGTCAGGCATTTTCTTAGAGGCCCATGAGGAAGGAGGGACAGCACTGGAAATGAGTTCTCTTTATAGGCCTGCGGGATTGATTTTGAAGTGAAGGGTTTCTGTGCTGAAAGCATGGAGGAGAAAATCCCCAAAAGGTATTCTTTTGTCCCCAAATCCTTCCCTCCAGCCTCTGCCAAGAAACAGATCCTGTTCTCACTAGAGAAACAGTGTTACTTCTGACCTCCATATCACTGTCACCACAAATAATGCACAGTTCTACATCCCCTGTGGGTTCTCTTCTTTGGTCTAGAGCAGAGGTCAGCAAAATTTTCTGTAAAGGGCCAAAAGAAGAAATATTTAGGTTTTGTGAGCCACAAGGTCTCTGTTGCAACTACTCTACCATTGTAATGCAAACGCAGCCACAGATAGTACATAAATGAATGAGCATGGCTGTGTTCCAATAAAACTTTATTTCTAGGAGCTGAAATAATATCCATGTCATAATATATTATTATTCTTTGATTTATTTCACCATTTACAAATGTAATAACCATTCTTAGCTTGTAGGCCATTTAAAAACAGGCAACAGGGCTCGGCACCTTTAGCTCATATACCGGGGTTGGTGGGTTTGAACCCAGCTCGGGCCTGCCAAACAATGACAACTACAAGAAAAAAAAATAGTCAGGCATTGTGGCGAGTGCCTATAGTCCCACTTACTTGGGAGGCTGAGGCAAGAGAATCGCTTAAGCCCAAGAGTTTGAGGTTGCTGTGAGCTGTGACCCCACGGCACTCTATCAAGGGTGACACAGTGAGACTCTGTCTCAAAAAAAAAGTGACCCTGTCTCAAATAAATAAATAAATGAACAGACAAAAGGCCAGATTTGGCCAATGGACCATAGTTTACTAACTTCTGGTCTAAATACCTACATTAAGGGTCTAGGGGGGTTCTCTGAGGGAAACGTTCCCCTGCCCCCACACCCAAGCAAGAACTGGGGTATGATGGTGACCAGTTCTTTGGGAGATCTGTGGGTCCCAAAAGGGACATTCTGGCTAACTCCATGGCCTCTGTTCAGAGACTCTGTGAGGCTGGTTATTCGGAAAGTACAATTTGCACCCCTGGAGCCAGGGCCTGGCCCCTGGGCCCAGACCATCCGCCGCTTCCTTCTGTCACCTCAGCCCCTACAACTCCAGGCCTGGATGGACAGGGAGGTATGTGACTCCCCCCACTTCCTGATCCCTATCCTTGAACACCTCTGATGATCCCCTTTCTTCACTGATTACCTACTTGGGTAGGCAAAGATGGTAACCAGGGTAGCAATGGTGGTAAGGAAATAGGAATTCCTAGGTCTTTATCTGGGTGTTCTTCCTTTAACCTTATGATGGGTCTCTCCTCCTGCTTTAGGTTCACTACCATGGTGAACCCATCTCTGTCAATGTTTCCATCAACAACTGTACCAGCAAGGTCATTAGAAAAATCAAGATTTCAGGTGAGTTTTTTTATTTCCACCTCCCTGTACCTGGTCCCCAAACCACAGGTCTTTTTCTAAAACTCTGCCCCACTTAGCTGTGTCAAAATACATATTTTTGTTTGTCCACTAATGCATCACATATAGTATGCCTGTGTATAAGGTCCCATCTAAGGAAGTGAGCTGGGGTCTCAAGGATGACCGACTGATTATAGTCATGTGCTTTTTCTTGGCTTGTTCAGTTGACCAGATCACAGATGTTGTCCTGTATTCACTAGACAAGTACACCAAGACTGTGTTCATTCAGGAGTTCACGTGAGCTGGTGTTGGGGCTGGGGTCAGAGATTTAAGAGGTAGGGTGGTGGGAAGAGGACCAGTAGGCACATGAGGGTGTAAGGGAAAGACAAAAAGGTGGGGGAGAGCCCAAGAATTAGGAAGGTCAAGGTGAGGACTGAAGTGGAGAAAGGGAGGGATTACCAGGAAAACTTGGAGGAGGGGACCCAATTTACCCACAGGAGGACAAGCACAATGCTGAGAATGGCCAGAGGCATAAGGAATTCCCACCGGAGCTAATTCCTCCCATTTCTCTTCATAGTTAGCTATGCCGCCTCTCCTGGATACTCTAATAGGTTCTCAGGGTTGTGCAAGATATTCTTGTGAGTGAATTATACTTAATTAGCAGCTTAACCTGAGTTCTTCTCTTATTGTCCTTTCAAAGGGAGACTGTAGCTGCTAACTCCAGCTTCTTACAGAGCTTTACAGTAACCCCACTCCTGGCTTCTAGCTGCCAGAAACAGAGCCTAGCACTGGATGGCAAACTCAAGCATGAAGATACCAACCTGGCCTCTAGCACCATGTAAGCTCAAATGTAACCTCCATTTCCTACTCTTTTTTTTTGGGGGGGGGGAGACAGAGTCTCACTATGTCACCCTCAGTAGAGTGTCATGGTGTCACAGCTCACAGCAACCTTCAACTCTAGGGCTTAAGCGATTCTCTTGCCTCAGCCTCCCAAGTAGCTAGGACTACAGGCATCCACAACACCTGGCTTTTTTTTGGTTGTAGTTTTCATTGTTTGGCAGGCCTGGGCTGAATTCAAACCTGCCAGCTCTGGTGTATGTAGCTGGCACCCTAGCCACTGAGCTACAGGCGCAGAGCCTCCATTTCCTACTCTTAACCCATTTCACATGCAAAATATATATCTATGAGGTTTCATCTTTACTGAAGCCTGCGTTTAAAATATCCTAGGCTAGTGTTCAGAGACTCCTCTAGCATTGAGGACCAGCAGCAACCTAAATAATGCCCATGAGACCAATGGCAAGTTTAGGTCAAAGGCAGCAAGAAAAGAAAATGTGGAGAGGAAAAAATCCTAATGTTGTATAATACTACACAGTTCACAAAGGTACTACATATGTGTTATGTTATCTTCGTAAGAATCCCATTAAAGTAGGCTGCATACGTGTTCTTGTTCCATTTTTTTTTCTTTGCAGTTTTTTTTTTGGCCAGGGCTGGGTTTGAACCCACCACCCTCGGCATATGGGGCCAGCGCTCTACTCCTTGAGTCACAGACACTGCCCCTCTTGTTCCATATTACACTTAAGCTCCCTGAAGCTCAGACAAAAGGAACTTTTTATCCAAGCTTGCATAGTTAACAAGTGGCAGAGATGGACAAGATTTAATCACACATCACCTGGCTCTAAATACCATGATCTAGGCTCGGCGCCTGTGGCTCAAGCGGCTAAGGCGCCAGCCACATACACCTAAGGTGGCGGGTTCGAATCCCCAGCCCGGGCTCTCCAAACAACAATGATGGCTGCAACCAAAAAATGGCCAGGCGTTGTGGCGGGTGCCTGTAGTCCCAGCTACTTGGGAGGCTGAGGCAGGAGACTCGCTTGAGCCCAGGAGTTGGAGGTTGCTGTGAGCTGTGATGCCATGGCACTCTACCCAGGGGGATAGCTTGAGGCTCCGTCTCAAAAAAAAAAAATACTATGTCTATACAGCAGCTATTCTCTAGAGAATACAGAAATGGAGAAGACTAGATGAGAAATGGAGGACAAGGAGAACAGAGAAGGAGAGAGATATGATGAAACTAATAGAATTCTATGAAGTCATTCATTTGGCCTTCTGCCTTCAGAGGCCCTAGTATTAGATGTCTCTCACCAAAAGCCACTTGCTACAATCTTATTGAGTGTTGATCCCCCACCTCTCCCATGCCTTATCAATCAAGGAGTTATCAGCTGTTATTGTTAGAAATATCCTTAAAAATCATCCAAACAGCATTACTTTATAGAGAGGGGATCAGCAACCCAGAGCAATGAAGAGGCTTTTCCCAAGCTCATATAGGTCTGTGCCTTATTTCTCAATTAGTAGGTTTTTAGTGAATACTAGTTACATGCTTATTCCTATGCTAAGCAATGTTGGAGATAAAAAAGATTTAGTCAGTCTCTACCTTTAGTCAATTTATAGCCTAGATGAGGAATAAAGAGAAATGCAAAGACAATCTGACAGTTGAATGTCAGTACATACAGTTCAGATTATAAATCAAACAGAAGCTTTAAAAAGGTAGCAGAACTGGTGAGGGCTTCCAGGAGGAGATAGAATAAACTAGATCTTCAAAAATGTGAAGGATGTGGATACCAAAGGAGGAAGAAAGGAGCATTATAGATTGGAAAAACAGCATGGGCAAAGGCCAGAAGGTGGGGATCCACCTGGTACGTTCTGCTCACAGAAAGTGGGGTCCACTTAGGTTATATCAAAGCTGTTAGGGAGTTAGGGCAAGGGATTAGGGAGGCTAGATGTGAGCCAGATTGTTAAGGACCTTGAAAGTCAGGCAGAGTAGTTAACATTCAAAAAAAACAGGCCCTTGAGCAGAGGGTGACACAGTAAAACTGAATTTTAGGAAGAGAAATATTGTCTCAATGGGTAGGAGCTATTAAAGCCTGGGAGATCCTCTGGGAGAAGCAGAAAGGTGTGGTGATGAGAATGAACAGGAAGAAAAGGGAGGACTCAACAAAGTACTCCATATTCCCCCAAACACACAAAATGAATATGGAACCTCCAGTCTTCGACCGGGAATGAACAAGGAGCTGCTGGGGATCCTAGTGTCCTACAAAGTCAGAGTCAACCTGATGGTGTCCTCTGGGGGGTGAGTGAGGGTTCAGAGTCTGTCTGGGAAGGGGTTGGGAAGCCAAGGTTTCTCATTTGTTTTTCTCTGTGTTAGACTGACCCAATAGTTGTTTCTTATTACTTCTCCCAGACCAGGTTCCCAAAACCTGTGAGTTCAGTGAGCAAATCACCTTTCCTTCCAGAAACCCATTCTGTGGCAGAGTTGGCTTTATGATCTCTCCTCCCCTGATAAAATTAGGTTGCCCCTTCTCCATTTAAGCTGCTAATTTTGGGTATCATTCTACCCTCAGAATCCTAGGAGATCTGACAGCCAGGTGAGAGACTGTAGGGTCAAAGGATTGGGACAAGGAGCAAAGGGGATAAGGAGATGGAAAGAGTGACTAGGGAGGAGTCTGGAGGCATCAGAAGATTGGAAAACTGAGGGAAAGAGGGAGGTTCTGGGGATCAGGCTTGTAAGGAGATCAGTAACTCCATCTTGGGATCCTCACAGTGATGTTGGTGTAGAGCTGCCCCTGATCCTGATCCATCCAAAACCATCTCATGGTGAGTGACCAGGTGGGACTCTCATGAATGGTAGTCCTGAGTGAGGGTTAGGGGCCAAAAAGTTCTGATCTCTTGGAGGTGAGAGATGGAATATTAACAAGCAGAGTGGGTATCTAGATTTTCAGAGTAAGGTATGCTGTGTGTACATGATGCAAAGGGTTGGAAAGGGAGGGGCAAGAGTAAAGACATTTCTTCATGGAACTGAAGAGTCCCTTATCAGCTTCAGCTCCATTTTCCCCTTCCTTTCCATGCTAGCTGCAGAGGCCCCAAGGTAATGGAATACAAAGCCTAGGAGCCCTATCCCCCTCTTTCCATTGCCACCCACCATTTTATGATAAAAATGCAAAAAAGCTTCCCTTTATTGTAATACAAGTGCAGTGTAAACATATGGTTTAGCTTCATTTCATGGTTGAGGGCTTTTCATGTGCCTTCCTTTTCTTTTCTGCACCTCCATACCCACCCTCCACCTCCTGCTCCTCTAGAATTGTCCTCCCCCCTCATCCCTTCCATTTTTTTTCCTTTTCCCCTACTCCCTCGCACTTACTTTTGTCCTTTATTCCTAGGCCCCTTCCCTCCTTCCATTCTTATTTCCCTTCCACCACTCCTGGGAGACTTCTGTGCTGGTAAATTTGGGAGTAATGAAAGAAAACTAACCAGTGTGGTCTACGAAGATGGGGGTGAGGTTCAAGGGAGTAAGCTATCAAGAAGGGGCCTAACTTGGAAGCAAAGAAGGGATCACTTTTCTGGGATCTGGAGAGGGAAGTGAACATGAAGGACACCCAGAAAAGGGTTCCTAATCCTCTACCTCTCTCTGCTGCTTCTGTAAGCTCTGAGGACATAGTCATCAAGGAGTTCACACAGCAGGAGCCTGGCCAGGAGGAAAATCAGAAGGCTTTGGAGGTGGAGGGAGATGAGGGGAGCTAAGTGCTTTGCTCTGGTGCCCCTCTGTGTGGGGGTCTCTGTTGTAAAGCTCTAATAAATCAGCTTGTCCAGATATGCCTGGTGATCTCATTGATACTTCCTCATCCCAGAAAATAATGGAACTACTGAGAATGATCTTCCCTGCCCCCATGCCCTCACTGTGATTATATTATCCTTAGGATATATGTTCTTTTCCCATTTGGACCTAGACTTCTCTTCCATACAGTCACCACTCCTTCATGGATCCTTTGGCTTTCTTTCTGCCCAGGCCATCCCTGTCTCCACCCCATCACTCCACTCCAGTACTTGATTGCCCAAGGTATGAGGAGGCCTGGGTGCGAAGCCAACAGTCACAAGTTGCCCTTGGGGAGAGCGCAGTGCTGCCCCCTGCCTACTTTTCCTGATGTATGTGCCTTCAGTCTCTTGGAGGCCCAGAGCAAGGTCTGAGGCTTTGAGGCTTAGGCCTGGAGGCTGAGCACACAGACTGGACCTAAATACCAGTCTGTGTGCAAATCCAAGCTCTTATACCTGGGAGAGCAGTGTGGTGTGGGACTGGATTGGGCTTTGGGCATAGCAAGGTGAATGGTATGGAACGGACTGCAGTATTAGTTGGAGAATTCTGTGGAGTTCCTCCCCCTTGAGAAAGTTTGAACAGTGTGTACACGGGGTGGGGAGTGTTCATGGAGACTTTTGAGGGGAGAAAGAGTGCCCATGGCAATGGTTGGCCTACTTATCACCATCACAGTAGGAAAACTGTTGATAATCACCCACTACATGTACAACATCCTTGACTATACCTACTAGATACTGAGAAGTCACTTGGTACATTTTTGCCCCCTTCCTTGGCTGTCTCCCCCAGGATTCTTCTCCTCAAAGTTATCCATTATAAGTGTTCCTACTGACAGCTTACATAGGGGTGTCCAACCTGCAGCCTGTGGGCCATATCCTGACTTTGGGAGGACTTTGTTTATCTGTGGTGGTAGGCATCACAAAAAGTATGCATGGACTGTTTGTTTTTTGCTAAATCAGCTTTTGTTAGTGTTTGTGTATTTAATGTGTGGCCCAAGACAACTTTTATTCTTCTAATGTGCAACAGAGAAAAAAAAAGGTTGGACACTCCATAGGCTATCTCTTTGCCTAACTTGATGGATTTACTGAGTTTGGGCTTTTCATACCAGTCCTTCCCTGCCCCTAGGTTTATGGTTTAAATACTTGGCTACTTATTCTCCTCCAATTCCTGGGCTTAGGAGTAAAACAGAACCCCTGAAAGTCCTATCATTTTTCTTGACTGTACCTCACAGCTATTAGGTATAAGCTTTTAGCAGTAACCGGGAATTCCATCTTACCCTCTCTGATGGTTAAAAGACATCTATAGACAATGTAGTTCTACAGCAACTGGGATACCTCCAAGGCCAAAACAATTCATTCTCCACTATTTTCTTACTTAAAACCTCAATAAATGACTGATCCTTTAGCCTCAGCCTGTTTTTGCTTGCACCTTCTCCATACTACACCTATACTTCTACAGTGCAATTTCCTCATGCTAGTGCCCTAACACAGAACGATTCCAAGTACCTCAATGCGAGAACAGATTTAGGGCAGGAGGGTTATTGCCTCTCAGGCCCACGGCACCTGACTGGGATCTTTTACCATGTTTACCATACTTCTTAGATGAATTTTTTAAAATCTGTTAACCACAGGGAGTCTTGGACTTTAACATTCAGCCAATATGCCTGTATTTTCTTTCTCAGATGGCTTTAGGAGGCAGCAGAGCAAACAAGAGCATAAAATAGATTTCCCAAGGCTTGGAGCCGGAGGCTCAAGTGGCTAGGGCACTAGCCACATACACCAGAGCTGGCGGGTTCAAATCCAGCCCAGGCTCGCCAAACAGCAATGACAACTCCAACCAAAAAATGGCTAGGAGTTGTGGTGGGTGCCTGTAGTCCCAGCTACTTGGGAGGCTGAGGCAAGAGAATCGCTTAAGCCGAAGAATTGGAGGTTGCTATGAGCGTGACACCATAGCACTCTACCCAGGTTGACATAGTGAGACTCTGTCTCAAAGAAAAAAAAAAGATTTCCCAGGAATTAATTTCCCAAATTAATTCTACCTCCAGTTCTGCTCTCAAGGGATGTTGCCACCTAACAATGGCACTGAACCTCTACAGCTCAGTAGAGCTGGGTGGGATATATAGGAAGAGCCATAACTTTCTCATAAAAATATATTTCTACTATCTAGAACAGTATTTCCCATTTTTGAAGGCTTATTTACTTTGCTTACTTAAATATCTAGATTTCCAGGCTCCACCTCAGACTAACAGAATCACTCTCCAGAGAATGGCCTGGAAATATATGTTTAAGCTTCCCAGGATTCTTTCAAGGCAAATTTTTGGCTTTCATCATAGTGGCACTTCACCCCATACCTCACTAGAAAACTTTTCATACTGAATGGGTATTGTGAATATGCCAATGGAAATGGCATAAATGTGATCTGGAATCTCTAATGGTGGATTGGTAACTGAAGATCTGAGAACATGGCAGGAAGTTATTTGGGACTGGAGTGAACAAACGGGAGAAATCAGCAGTTAGTACTATTTCAACCTACAAACTAGAAATTGGGAACCAATTTCTTACTGTTGCCTCTGAAAAGACACACATCCAAGCCCCTTCCTTGGTTTGTGTTCCAGATCAAAGAATCTGGGAAAGAAGAGAGAATTATATTAATACTGTCTCCTGCAGAGAAATGTTCAAATCTCCTAGGGAAAAGGGAACTGTTTCTTCCAGCACTCTTCACCCTATTCCATTCCTGTAGCTGAGTTTCCTGGTTCTCCCTAATGTTTTGGCCACAGATAGTTGTGAAATAAGTATAGTGCTGCTCTGTCCTTTTCAGTCACTCTTCTCTTTGAAAGAGCTTTTCCTTGCCTCAATAGCATCCAATCAATATCATTCAAAAGTCACACCAACATTTCTTCAGCACTGTGTTTTACTTTTGTGGGGAAAGGAGGAGGAGGAAGGAGCAAAACCAGGGTTTTATTGGAGTCTCCAAAGCATATAAAAACTTTGGTAGTACAAAGATGGGATGAGATGGCCAGGCAAATCAGATGGAAGAGCCCTAAGATTCTTTTCTACTGATTTCTATAATATAAATGATATGTAAGAGACTAGCACATGGTATTCAATAAATGTCAGTTGCTTTTTCTAACTGGCTTCCCTAGGTTATACCTTGACATCATCATCCTTATCCTTTCAGGGAATAAAGCTCACTTAAAAAACTTGGGACCTGAAAGTACAGTACAGTTTGGGTAATAAAGTTGGTTAACTGTCTCCCTATCTTCCCCATTTTACTATGCCAGGGAGGGACTGAGTGTAAAAGTGGCTTCCCTGTAGTCTAGCCAGCTTGTCCTGGCAGAGTCCACATGAAGGGTTGTGGGCTGCAACTCTCTAGTGCACAGTCCTCTCTTTTTGGCGGTGATAATCTGAGGGAAGGAAGGAAGAAAAGAGTAGGTTATTTTAAAGCTTGAACTCCCAATTATCCTTCCCCAACTTATAGGGCCCCTAGTCATCAGTATTTAAAGAGTTCTTACCTAGGGTCTGCCATGTAAGTGAAAAGGAGAGTGTCACTTACTGTAGGGAAAGAAGCGGACACGCATGCTGATTTCACGGGCTGTCTTCAGGATCTCAACAGCCTGGAAAGAACAAAGCAGCTTGTACAAATGAAGAGATATGACCCAGGATGGAAACATTACAGGGAGAAATGGATTTGCCATTCCAATCTCCTGGGTGACTAATAGCTGGCTCCCTTTGGTACACTGCCCCAGGAGAGACCCTTGCTTGCTTGTTTTTCAGAGAATTAGGTTATATTATCTTTTTCTTTTTTTGCAGTTTTTTTGGGCCGGGGCCAGGTTTGAACCCACCACCTCCGGTATATGGGGCTGCTGCCCTACTCCTTTGAGCCACAGGCACTGCCCTATCTTTCTTTTTCTTTAAGAGATGGGCTCGGCACGTGTGGCTCAAGTGGCTAAGGCACCAGCCACATATACCTAAGGTGGCGGGTTCGAATCCAGCCCAGGCCCGCCAAACAACGATGGCTGCAACCAAAAAAAAGCCGGGCGTTGTAGCGGGCGCCTGTGGTCCCAGCTACTTGGGAGGCTAAGGCAGGAGACTTGCTTGGGCCCAGGAGTTGGAGGTTGCTGTGAGTTGTGATGCCAGGGCACTCTACCCAAGGGGACAGCTTGAGGCTCTGTCTCAAAAAAAATAAAATAAAATAAAAAATAAATTTAAGAGATGGCATCTCAATCTGGTGCCCAGGCTGGAGTGCAGTGGCATAATCATAGCTCACTGCAGACTCAAATTCCTGGGCTCAAGCGATCCTTCCACCTTAACCTCCTAAGTAGCTAGAACTACTGGCATGTGCCACCACAGCCAGCTAATTTGTTTCTATTTTTGTAGAGATTGGGTCTCACTATGTTGCCCAGGTTGATCTCAAACTCCTGGCCTCAAGCAATCCTCCTGCCTCAACCTCCGAAAATTCTGGGATTACAGGCATGAGCCACTGTGCCCATACTTTTTCTGGTTTTTGATATGAGGTCTTGCTATATTTCTCAGGCTGGTCTCAAATTGCTCTTGCATCAGCCTCCAAGTAGCTGGGATTACAGGGACATGTTACTATGTCTGGCAAGATGCTTTCTTATCAAGTTCCATGATGGCTACTCCTATCCAATCTCTATTTGGGATGGCTTCTTGTATCACCATAGCCCAAGTGCACTGCTCACCTTGCTATGTTCAATATCCTGGAAATCTACATCATTCACAGCTAGAACTTGGTCCCCTTCCTGAAGTCCTGCTCGATGTGCATCAGAGTCAGGAATCACCTGTTGGTAAAGAGTGAATACATGTGATTGGGATGGGATAATTTCAGAATACTACGTGTGAAATTCAGTGCTATTCAAATGTAAGGTGCTATTGTTTTTCTATTGACAATGTACGGAGACAGATGGCTTGCCAAATGCAAAGTTTTACGTGGAAAAGGGAGTGTCCCCATTATGTCCCTTCAGTGAATCTACTAAAGTAGATTGGATAGAAGTAGCTATTTATATTGCCTACCAGGCACACACACCTTGGAGATGAAGATGCCTAGCTGGGAGGCCTTTCCTCCTCGGATGTTAAATCCCAACTGTAATACAAGAGCACAGAATGGAGGCTCAAATGAGACCAAAACCACAAGAATACATAGCAGCAGCATGGTATGTTCCTCAGTGACATCAGAAGTTGTGTAAATGATATCTCAGCTTTTCTGTCCACAAGAAGAAAAGTTTCCTTCCATCCCCATCTGCTTCCTAATCCATTCCCCCAACCACTGGCAACTTCTGGTATGGACAAAGCTGGCTCCATAAATTCACCTGAGCTCCAGGAGGCTTCTTCAGTGTGACAAGTCGGGGAAGAAACTGGGTCAACTCATTGTTGTAGTCTGGGTGGTATACCCTCTGCAAAACACAGCAACCCCCAGAATTTTAATACCAGTCTTAGACTTCACATCTACCTTCATAAGAACACCAATGTCAATAAAAGGTCAAGTCACAGACTTAGCTTAAGTAGAAGAGATAACACTGTCCAAATGAGTAAATGGGTAGCATTGGGACAGGTTAGCAGCCTAGTACCTTTCCACTTCTTCACCTCTTGACAGAATGGAAACTAGGGCTCTGAATTTCCAGAATTCACTAGTGTGAATGGACCCGGGCCAGAGGTTCCATAGTAAGTTCTGCTTCTCAGAATCCAGCTTCTGAGTCCTCAGGCTACAACAAGGGCTAAGATTCACTCTCTATTTAGTTTTCCAACTCTGCCATCCTACCTTTCACACACCATCTCATGTCCAGGGGGAAAAAAATCTCCCACCCAAGAAAACAGACGGTTCCCACCTCATGAGGAGGAATCCATGCTGGTGGATTCTCATAGGCAGGCAGGAAAACCACCGGGTAGTCATCATAAGGAATCCGGCTGTCCATTTCACGTAAGGCCCTGGATTGGAAGGGTGGATCAAAGTGGACAAAAGTGATTCAAAAGGGACAGCAGCCCAGCAAGTTACAGAAAACAGCTCCAACCCATTAAAAGGCTGTCATTCTAGAGGCCCATCTAGGTATTAAGACTGGAGGAAGGAAGGAATTAAAAAAAAAAAAAAACAACAAAACTGTTAACTTTGCCAAAGAGCTTCTGGATGCCAAGCAACCTGGTAGGTACTTTGGAAAGATGATCTCATTTCTCACAACAATCCTGCAAAATATGTTACCCCCTTGTTCCTGGAGAAGAAGAAATAAGGTCGCGTCTAAGAAGACCTACTTTCAAAGCCCCGGGGAGTACTGACTCCATCTATCCTCAAAGACTCGGGGCAAGGCACGCCCCACATTCCCTAGATGTGACCAGTAATGGTGGGGTCCCCAGATCGACCCTTTCTTCATCACCAGCCACTCTCCAGATCCCCGCCCCGCATCCTGCTTGAGTGTCGCGCTCACGAACGTTTAAACCACCTCTTCAGCAGACCGGCCTCCGTCACCTCGGGATCCGCTCACCACCAATTCAGCCTGGGAACCGGAAGCAGATGCTTGCTTGGGTCGGAAAGAGGCGGGGCCGGAAGCGCGCAGCACGGCCCCCCTCCCAACACGTCCTCCCTCGCTAGCTGACGTGCTTGTTCCGCCCGTGGGCTGGCTGCGTTGCAATTGGTTCGTGTCTTTGGGATTGATTTGAAACTGGGCGGTTAAAGCTCCGGTTGCGACTGGGCGGCGGGAGAACAGGGAAGACCGAGGAAGGGACATTTAGTTTGGTGAGTTAAGGGGGGAATGCCTTAGAACCTGTTTTCCTGATACCCAGGGGCTTTGGTTCTTTGTCGCCGTCCCCGTTGGAGTTTTATCATTTTGTTGCAGATGCAACTTCCCACTTTTTAGTGTGTCGACTGACAGGTAGTCCCGTCGTGGCCAAGTCCTGAGGCCGCGATTCACCTGGGAGGGGAGCCTGCAGCCGCTAAGCCTGAGTTCCCTAACCCACCCACCCTCTGGGGAGGAGCCGTCACACCCCTGCTGATCTACCAAGATTCATCAGCAAGCCTTTTTTTCTCCCTGCAGAGACGGTGCTTGGGTAAGATAAAGATGGAAGAGGTGAAGGGAATTCCTGTAAGAGTGGCTCTGCGTTGTCGCCCTCTGGTCCCCAAAGAGATTAGCGAGGGCTGCCAGATGTGCCTTTCCTTCGTGCCCGGGGAGCCTCAGGTGCGTAGCAGAGTCCAGGCCTAAGCCTGAAGAACTGGAGCCAAACCGCAGTGAGGAGTGTGGCCTAGTCTTTTTTTTTTTTTTTTCTTACGCCTTGTCACTTGCCTTCTCTAGGTGGTGGTTGGTACTGACAAATCCTTTACCTACGATTTTGTGTTTGACCCCTCTACTGAACAGGAAGAAGTCTTCAATACAGCAGTAGCACCACTCATAAAAGGCATATTTAAAGGTGAGGTTATCTAATTCGTCAAACGTTTCTTGAGAGTATACTACTATGTGCCAGGCACTTTCCTTGAACACTATGCTGCAAATACAGGAATGGATGATGCCTTCAAAAAGCCCCTAGCCTAATAAACATTTGTGAAAGTTTCTGTACCCTTGAAGCTAGTTTTATACTTCATTTGCTTTCTGTGGTTCTGTTCATGTTTGACTTGCATATATATTTGTTTTTCCTGAAACCTCATTTGATTATAAGCTCTTTGGTGGATACCTATGGTGATTAGTGTCCTAACCTACTTGAGGCCTAGACACTGAAAAGCTTGTTGAGGGATTCAGAGATAAATAGTATAGATTCTAGACCCTGAAGGAGTTCTAAGTCCAAGGCATAGAAGTTGAGGTAGGTGACTACATAATTAATTTTGAATGCATAATATTTTTTTAAATTTTTATGCCTATCTTAAAAAATATTTTAAAAGTTAAAAATATACAACTGTCAGCCCTACTATATAAGTACCACTATATAAGTAGCACTCTCATACAAAGTGGTATGACAAACAAAAGCCTGGCACTAACTCTCCTTGAGGGATTTGGGACGAATCTCACAGGATAGTGAAACTTTGTGAGATAGGTTTTGAATAATGAGTAAAATTCTTTTAGGTGGAGAAGGGGATTTCCTAACGCCCCTGAATACTCTGGCCAATTGACCTTTATAGCAGAAGCCAAGGCTTTAATGTTGTTAAGACCATAGCAGCATTCTAAAGAAAGGAGCTGTTCCTGAGAGATGTCTAATTGTTACTCTAGAATAGTGGTTATTCAAGATTCAACACAATAAGTACGGTCATGTTACTGGTGCCTTAAATTTGAAAGGAATATTTGTGTATCATCTAGTTTAAACTTTCCATCTAATGAAAAGTGTTTTCTAGCATTACCTATGTTAGGTGAACTTCCAGTGTCTGTTTAAAATTTTTTCTTTGAGGTTGGGCGTGGAACCTCATGCCTATAATTATAACCGTAGCATTTTGGGAGGCAAGGTGGGAGATTGCTTTACATCAGAAATTAAAGACCTACCTAAGCAACATAATAAGACCTGATCTCTACAGAAAAAAAAAAAGAAAAGAAAAATTAGCTGGGTGTGGTGGTGTACCTGTATTCCCAGTTACTTAGGAGGCTAAGGCAGAAGGATCACTTGAACCCAGGAGTTTGAGGTTTCAGTGAGCTGTGATCATGCCTCTGTCTTCATACCTGGGCAACAAAGTAAGAACCTGTCTCAAAAAATTTTTTTATTTTAAGTTAATGTGAGGTTACAAACAACCAAATCACAATATTTAAATTTGTTGGTAGAATTCTTCTTGTAGCTATGTCTTACACCCAAAAGACGTGCCATATACCCCTATGTTGTGCCCATTCAGTGCAAGTACCCCCAAACCCCCCTCCCCCTTCTCTCATCTCTCTTACCCCTTCCCTCATCCCCCTGCCCCTTCTCTTATCCCCCCTACACCCAACTTGAATTGAAATGAGTATTTTTCCTATGTGGATGTAAATTAGATCATCTACTGGCTTCATATTAGTATTGAGTACATTGAATATTTGCTTTTCTATTCTTCTGGAAGAGTATGTTTCAACTCCATCCAGGTTAATACATCTTTTTCTGGCTGAATAGCGTTCCATGATATGCATATACCAACAGTTTATTAATCCATTCCTAAATTAATGGGAATTTAGGTTGTTTCCACGTCTTGGTGATTGTAAATTGAGCTGCAATAAACAATCTACTGTATATGTCCTTATGATAAAATTATTTTTTTTTCTTCTGGGTAGATGCCTAGTAGAGGTATTGTGGAGTTAAAAGGGAGATCTAATTTGAGTTCTTTGAGAACTCCATACTTCTTTCCATAAGAAGCTTGTATTAGTTTGCAGTGCCACCAACAGTTTAAGAGTGTTCCCCTCTCTCCACATCCATGCCAGCGTCTGCAACTTTGAGATTTTGTGATGTGGGTTAATCTTACTGGGGTTAGGTGGTATCTCAGGGTTGTTTTGATTTGCATTTCTCTGATGACTAGGAACAGTGAACATTTTTCATATTTGTTAGCCATTGATCTGTCTTCCTCAGAGAAAGTTCTGTTCATGTCTTTTGTCCAGTGATATATGGGATTGTTAGCTCTTTTTTTGTTGAATAATTTGAGTTCTCTATACATCCTTGCTATCAAGCCTTTGTCAGATTCGTAATATGCAAATATGTCTTTCTATTCTGAAGATAGTCTATTTGCTTTGATTGTTGTGACCTTAGTTGTACAGAAAATTTTCAGTTTACCAGGCTTCAGGCTAAATTATAAGTCCACAGTGATCAAAACAGATGGTATTGGCAGAAAAATAGAGACATAGACATTTGGAACTGAATAGAAAACCAAAAGATGAAACCAGTCTCTTCTAGCCATCTGATCTTTGATAAAGCCAACAAAAGCATACAGTGGGGAAAAGAATCTCTATTCAATAAATGGCGCTGGGAGAAGTAGATAACCACATATGAAAGACTGAAACTTGACCCACAGTTTTCACCCCTTACAAAAATTGATTCAAGATGGATAAAACATTTAAATCTAAGACAGGAAACAATTAAAATCATAGAAGAAAGTGGTGGGAAAACTCTTGAAGGGGTTGGTTTGAGGAAAGATTTTACGAAGATTTCCATGGCAATTGTAACAACAAAAAAAAATTAACAAATGGGACTTATTTAAACTGTCTCATAAATTTATTTTTCTTTGACAGGGAACTCATTGACTTACAGCTAGTTGAGTTGATATTTGATTTTTGGACACCTCTAATTACATTATAAAGATCTTTATATTGAAATGAAATTTGTTTTCTAGTAATTACTAACTCAGTGATGTTAGTTCATCCCTTCACAGAAACCTAGGCAATAGCTATTCACAGATTCTTTTTAATGTCATAGCTCAAGGCACACTGAACATGTTGGTTCAGATTTTAAAATATTAGTGCAGTAATCTCAAACTTATAAAAATGTTTTATAAGAACAATATATAGAACTTTTTCCCCCTGAACCATTTAAGATGAGTTGTTGACCTGATGCCTCCCAAATAGTTTAGTGTATATTTCCTACATAGAAGGACTTTCTCTTAAGTTGCCATGATACAACCATCAAAATCATGAAATTTACATTGCTACCTTGCTACCATCTAATCCTCAAACTCCCATTCAAGTTTTGCCAGTTGTTCCAGTAAGTCCTTTATAGCAGAAGGATGTGGTTCAAAATTATATGTTGTATTGAGTTGTGCTGCCTTTTTTGAGACAGAGCCTCATGTCATTGCCCTGGATAGAGTGCTGTGGCATCACAGCTCACAGCAACCTCAAACTCCTGGGCTCAAGCAACTCTCCTGCCTCCGCCTCCCAAGTAGCTGGGACTACAGACACCTGCCACAATGCCCAGCTATGTTTTGGTTGCAGCTGTCATTGTTGTTTGGCAGACCCGGGCTGGATTCAAACCACCAGCTCAGGTGTATGTGGCTGGTGCCTTAGCCACTTGAGCCACAGGTGCCGAACCATCTTTTTTCTACTTTGATGATCTTGACATTTTTGGTTTATCTGATGCTTACTTATGACTAGATCAAGTTGTGTATCTTTTAGTAGAGATATCACAGAGAAGTGGTCCCGTTTTTCTCATTGAGTCCTACCAGGCAGCACATGATTTTCATTTGTTCTATTAGTGCTGATAAACATTTTGATCATTTGATTAGATTTAGGTGTTAATCTGCTGGGCTTCTCCACTGTAAAGTTAATCTCTTCTTTTTAAATTCAGCATTTAGAAGACTATTAATTCTATATAATTCTCTTCTAATTAGCCATCTCCCATTTCCTTTAGCCATTCCAAAACAATGTGGTCTTCAGACCCTTTACAATCTGGTCACCTTCCTCAGAATGTACCTCTATAGCATAGTAAGAACACTATACTTCTACTTTTATATTCTTAATTTGAAAAACTATTAGAATTAATTATAGTACTCAAAAGCAGTATAGGCCAGGTGCAGTGGCTCAGGTCTGTAATCCTAGCACTCTGGGAAGCAGAGGCAGGTCGATTGCTTGTGCACAGGAGTTTGAGACCAGCCTGAGCAAGGGCAAGACCATCTCTAAAAAACAGAACAAAATAAAACAAAAAAAGGCAGGATAAAGTAGAAAGTGATTCCATGTTTGGTTAATATTGCCCTCAGTTGCAAAAACAAACCCAGTATTTTTTTGGGAGGAGGAGGAACAAGTCTCACTCTGTTGTCCAGGCTATAGTACCCTGGCATCAGCCTAGCTCACAGCAACCTCAAACTCCTGGGCTCAAGTGATCCTTCTACTTCAGCTTCCTGAATAGCTGGGACTGCAGGTGCTCAAAACAACATCCAGCTAATTTTTCTATTCTCAGTAGAAATGGGGTCTTGCTCTGGCTTAGGCTGGTTTTGAACTCAAACAGTCCTCCCAGTTTGGCCTCCTAGAGTACTAAGATTACAGGCAAGAGCCAGCATGCCTAGCCAAGGCCAGTATTTTTTTATAGTTAGCCCAACAGCACCCACTTTTATTCTGAACTGCTGGTACTATAGAACCCTGAGTATTTTATAAAAAGTACTGAAGCCTGGTTTCCCAAGTTATTGCTATCAATACATATCTGTGGTATTTGCAGAAAATTATGGAATGTTTTTCTCTTACACCATGGTTATGCCAGGTGATGGGTAGTACCAGCAATCTATTATAGTAAAAAACCTCAATTTAGTATTATCTTATGATCTTTCATGTAGACCAAGTTCTTTCAAAACTTCAAAGCTTTCATTTAGATTGACACATTGTTTCAAAACTTAAAAGTTGGCTGAGCGCCTGTGGCTCAAGTGGCTAAGGCGCCAGCCACGTACACCTAAGGTGGCGGGTCGAATCCAGCTTGGGCCTGCCAAAACAACAATGACAGCTGCAACCAAAAAATAGCTGGGTGCTGTGGTGGGCGCCTATGGTCCCAGCTACTTGGGAAGCTGAGGCAAGAAACTCGCTTGAGCCCAGGAGTTGGAGGTTGCTGTGAGCTGTGATGCCATGGCACTCTACCCAAGGGGATAGGTTGAGGCTCTGTCTCAAAAAAACAACTTAAAAGCTTTTCCTTCAGACTCCTAAATTATCTTGGTAAATAGTAGTTAACAGCTTTGAAAAAAGTATTCTGATCATTTAATAGAGAAAGCTTGCCTGTGTTCCTTTAGATCATATCTATCACCCTAATATGAGTTATATTTTTTCCCTAAGTTCATTTTTTTTTTTAACCTTGTTGTAAATTTTGATTTGTAGTTCCTTCTAGGTGCTGTGCTTACGGTTTTAGTAGCTTCTACCCTACAGTTAATTAGTGAGTTACAGTCATACATCGATTAACATCAGGGATACATTCTGACAAATGCATCATTAGGTGATTTCATCATTGTGCAAACATCATAGAATATATTTACACAAACCAATATTATGTACAGTATCCCTCTACACACCTAGGCTCCCAGACTTCAAAGCTGTATAACATACTACTTTACTGAATACTGTAGGCAATTGTAACACAATGGTAAGCATTAGTATATTTAAACATAGAAAGGGTACAGTGAAAATACATTATGAAAGATAAAAAGTATAAAAGATAAAAAATGGTATACCTGTATTAGGGCACTTACCAAGAAGTCAGTTTACAGGACTAGAAGTTGCTCTGGGTTAGTCAGTGATTGGTAAGCAAATGTGGATACTCAAGAGATTACTATACACTACTGTAGACTTTATAATAAACGTTGTACACATAAGCTACACTCAATTTATAAAAAAATTTTCTCCAATAATAATTAAATCTTAGCTTAGTGTAACTTTTTTACTTTATAAACTTCCTGATTTTTTTATTTTTTTCCTATTTTTAGTAGAGACAAGCTGGTTGGTCAGGCTGGTCTCAAACTCCTCAGCTCAGGTAATTGGTACACCTGCCTCAGTGTCCCAGAGTGCTAGGATTATAGGCATGAGACAGTGTACCCAGCCTAACTTCTTAATTTCTTTTTTTTTTTCAAGACAGAGTCTCATTTTGTCACCCTCGTAGAGTGCCATGGCGTCACAATGCACAGCAACCTCAAACTCCTGGGCTTAAGCGATTCTCTTGCCTCAGCCTCCCAAGTAGCTGGGGCTACAGGTGCCCACCACAATGCCTGGCTATTTCTTGGTTTTAGTTGTCATTATTGTTTGATAGGGCTGGGCTGGGTTTGGACCTGCCAGCTCTAGTGTGTGTGACTAGTGCCCTAGTCACTGAGCTACAAGCGCCGAGCCCTAACTTCTTAATTTTTTAAACTTTTTCACTCTTTTGTACTAACACTTAGCTTAAAACACACATATACCTATATAAAAGTATTTTCATTTTTTGATCCTAATTTTATGTTTTTTTTCTACTTTTTAAAATTAACATTTTTTTTAACTTTGTAAACATTTTTTAAAAAACTAAGACACAAACACATTAGGCTAGGCCTACACAGGGTCAGGATCATTAGTATCTGGTCTTCAGGGGCATTAATAAAATGCATGGAGTGGTCATCTCTTAAGGGAATAATGCCTTCCTCTGAAATACCTCCTGAATGATCTACCTAAGGCTGTTTTTTGGGACAGAGCCTCAAGCTATTCCCCTGGGTAGAGTGCCATGGCATCACAGCTCACAGCAGCCTCCAACTCCTGGGCTCAAGCGAGTCTCCTGCCTCCGCCTCCCAAGTAGCTGGGA